GCATTTCTTCATGGTGACTTAGAAGAAGAAATTTACATGGAGCAACTAGAAGGTTTCAAAGTCAAGGGAAAAGAAAATCTGGTATGTAAGCTTAGGAAAAGCTTATATGGACTCAAACAGGCACCTAGACAGTGGTACAAGAAGTTTGATTTCTTTATGATGAGCCAAGGGTATGATAGAACCACATCTGATTATTGTGTGTTTATGAAGAAATTTTCAGATAATTTTATTATTTTACTGCTATATGTTGATGATATGTTGATTGTTGGCCATGATGTTGGAAAAATTGAAAAGCTTAAAAGAGAGCTAAGTAAGTCTTTTGCCATGAAAGACTTAGGATCAGTGAGACAAATACTTGGCATGAAGATTCTTCGTGATAGGAAGAAAAGGAAGATTTGGTTATCTCAGGAGACTTACATTGAAAAGGTTCTTGAAAGATTCAACATGAGTAAAGCCAAAGCAGTTTGTTCCCCACTTGCAAGTTATTTCAAGCTGAGTTCAAAACAATGTCCTACAAGTGAGAAAGAAAAAGAAGAAATATCCAGAGTGCCTTACTCATCTGCAGTAGGCAGTTTGATGTATGCTATGGTTTGTACTAGGCCAGATATAGCTCATGCAGTTGGAGTTGTTAGTCGATTTCTCTCAAATCTTGGAAAGGAACATTGGGCAGCAGTGAAATGGATATTAAGATATCTAAGAGGTACTTCCAGGTTGTGTTTATGTTTTGGTGATGATGAACCTGTGTTAGAAGGGTACACAAATGCAGACATGGCAGGTGATATTGATTCCAGGAAGTCCACTTCGGGATTCTTGATGACATTTGCAGGAGGAGCAGTCTCTTGGCAGTCTAAGTTACAGAAGTGTGTTGCTCTATCAACCACAGAAGCAGAATACATAGCAGTTACTGAAGCCTGCAAGGAAGTTTTATGGATGAAAAAGTTTCTACAGGAATTGGGCTTGAAACAGGAAGGATATACTGTTTACTGTGACAGTCAGAGCGCTATTCACCTCTCCAAGAATTCAACATATCATTCTAGATCCAAGCATATTGATGTGAGATATCACTGGATTCGTGATGTGCTTAAGATGAAAGAATTACAATTGGAAAAGGTGCATACCAATGATAATGGTTCAGATATGTTGACAAAGTCTTTGCCTAAGGAGAAGCTTGAAGCATGTAGGCGAAGAGCGGGCTTGGTACAGCCCACCATATGAGCTGGAGGGGGAGAATTGTTGGGTCCAGCCCATATGTGGGTTTGGACAATTGGGTCTATTGAGCCCAAATCAGTAATTAAGAGAGAAATGGCAAAATTGGGCAGCGTGCAGGGTGTGTGTGCGCACAGTGAGATTGCAGCGTGCGTGCGGCGGCGTGCAGAGAAAAAAGAGGAGAGAGAAAGTAAGGTTTCTGAGTTTTTCTGCTTGACGATCGGTGGCCAAACATTGTCAGTTTCGGCCCAAATTTTATGTGGAGAATCCTTGCAGCAAACTCTACAATCCTAATGGTGTTGATCTGCAGTTTACCCTCTCTAAGGTACTTTCCTGCGATATCCACTCTGTGAGACCTAGAATTCTCTTTTGAGGAGATCCATCCTACGTGATGAAGATATGGTATTTTTGAGCCAAGATCTATGTTCTTGATGTTATTCTGATACTCTAGTTATTCTAGAGAAGACCTACTGTAAACCTTTTATCATTATTATTGATAGTGGAAGTTTGAGGTGGACTACGGTCCCGTGGTTTTTCCCACATTGGGTTTTCCACGTTAAAAAGATTTGGTCTCACTGTGTGATTGATTTATTGCTCTATTGTTTATGCTGTGCTGATTGATATTAGCATTTTGATATCAAGTTGGTATTTTGATGAGGATCCTATTTTGATACACAAAGAGGGAAAAGAATTATTCCGCATTAACAGGTTTCTTCCCAACACAAACGAGGTTAGTTTACCTTTCTTTTCAAGCCATTGTTAGAATTTTATGCATTCCTTCTTTCTGTGTCCCTTTCTTTTACAAAAGAAATACTTTGCTTCTTTCATGATATCAGCTTAGGGTGGTATTTTACCTTTTCCCTACTGATGAGCATTCTGATTGGCTTGGTTTTTGTCAGTTTTATTCTTCCCGCGAGTGGTTACCACCAATGCATTCTCACCTAGTTCTATCACTAGCCTCTCTTCTTCTTGAACACACATGATCAGTAATTCATTGATTAACAATTTGTCCCTATGTGTATTGTATAAAATTTTAAAAGGGCTATATTGAGGTAGAAGAGTGTTCAGAATATAGTGCACCAGGAAGGATTCTAATATATTAACCTCGAGTTTCTTAAGTTGAGCCATAATATCTCACATTTGCATTATGTGTTCACGCACACCCTTTATGTTGGTGAGTCTAAGGGATGAGAATTTTATTATTATGGTACTTGCTAGTGCCTTATCCGAAGTGACAAATTGCTCATTGATAGCTTTTAGCAAGTGTCGGACATTTTCATGCTGGTCAATAGAACCACGTATGCCAGCAGTTATCTTAGTTTTGATAAACATCACGCTGACCCGATTAGATCGCTCCCATTGCTCATATAATGTGATCTCAGTTGGAGTGCTGGTATTAGTGACTATAGGTGGTTCGTCTTTCCTAATAGCATAATCAATATCCATCCACCATAAATGAAGGAGAACCCTCTCCTTCTATATCTTATAGTTATCACCACTAAGTTTGGGAATATCACATCGAATATTAAAGAAATTAATAGTATGAGAAACTGTATAAAATCAAACATGCTTATGTCAAAATTTGAAGCTTAATAGTCTAAATTACATGTTTTACCAATGTGAAACATGCCAAAAAAAATATGAATCTCATGACATAAAAATTGCCTATGAGCTAATTCTTAATTCAAATAGATTCAAATGGTCTTTATGGTAAAACTATTAAATTATATTCCAATTCATAATCTCTGTTGATAAATTATGAAAATGATCTGATATTTTATCTTGATTAATTATATTAAATAGAATAAAAGATCCTGTAGGATAATAATTATTATATGAAATATAATCAGTCACAATATGATATCTAATTACTTATGTGATCCTTATTTTAACTTTATATATAATTTTAATTAATTAAGGATGTTTGGATAATTCTTAATTAATTAAGATTATATGGATCACTAGATATTTTAAACATATAAAATTAACTCATAAGCATGATTAGATATAATCAAATATGCATACATAATATGAGTATTTTATTATCTAAAATTATTGAAAATGTTATATCCTCATAATTTTCAATATGAAATATGTCTAGAAGTTTAAAAAGAAACCAAAATAAAACCATATTCATAGTATAAAAAATATGAAAACTATTTCATATCAAGATAGAGGTCAATCGGCTCAGATACCAAATGTAAGAATTCTTTGACACCAACTTGTGTTTCTAATTCATTATAATAGAAACACAATAAAAACTGATGCGGAAACGAAATAGCGTACCTCCAGCCATTATTGTCAAAAAATTTTGCAGAGGTTTTTTCTTGAACTTTGGTACTTCTCGGCTCAGAACTCTCGCTTTAGATGGTATAAAAAAATCTTTTTGCTTCAAAGAGATGATTGAGCATAAGGACCAAAATCCTCATATATATATATATGTTCTCCCATCAACAACATTTATTATCACCAACTCATAGCATTCAAGAATTAATTCAAATTTGTAACGTTTGCACCATAATGAAAAACTTAATGATATTAAATATTTAATAATAATTATTATATTTAGAATAAAAAACCGAAATATTTAAAATATAATAAATAAAGAAATTGATTATAATAAATTATGAATGTTAATGAGAACGGTTATTATTAAATATAATATTTAATAATAACGGTTATTATTCTCACTCATGAAATCAATAATTTATCATCCAAACTCTCTCCGTAGAATATTGACAGCGATAACAACATTTCTCGGTTGCAGAGAAATGTAGAATGCTGTTTTCAGATGCCGTGGCAGCCAAGAGATTTTTAAGAGAGACCGCACTGCAACACCCTAGTCTTGCTGGCACGCACGTCACCCCCACCGCGAACCGCTGTCGTCACTGCTGTGACGCAACGCTCGCTGGCGTCACCCGGCGCGTATCACGTGCGCTCATCACCGACGACTTCCGGACGTGCCGTGTCATCCTCGGCTCCTTACACGACGTCGTGACGTAACGGAACGTAGGATCGCACGGGCCACGACCCGCCACGCGATCTGAAAAGGTTGATGTGCCCCACCTTGACTTGACCGCCTCACGACAGCGAACCGGACCGCCTTTCTGAATTTACAATTTTGTCCCATTTCTATCCTCCGTCGCGCCACGCCGCCTGGCGTCACGGCTTAATTCGTCACTCGGTATGTGATTCGTGTGAGAATTAGATAGCTGTGGCACGAATCACGAGGGTGGTGTTTCATATTTTTCTTCACCTACTACTGTTTGTATTTTACCGACGAGGATCTTACTAAACCTCATTACTCAATATCAAAGAACAGTATATTGCTGAGTCATTCTCTGACGTTTTTCCTAGCATCCAGTACTCGGAGACGTGATCCACATCCGCCATCGACGGGTTTACATTACTTTGTTGACTTCTCTACAAACTACAATCGAAGGTCGCTCTCGAGTTGTAGCAGATACTTCCATATCTCGACTCCCGAGTCAATGTTTTGTAGCAGATTACTTTGAAGGATGGGTTCAAGTCAATGGGGTATGTGCCAACTTTTTGTTGCCTGCACAAGTCTTCCTACACATCTCGTGAGAATTCCTTTGGTCTTTCAAACAAGGAAGCTTGATGACATAATCCATAAGACGTCGGGAGCTGACGTCCCGCATGGCGTCTGTCGCCCCACGTCATCCTCATTGATTCTTCTGGAGTCACTGGTACCAATTCAAAGTCTTCTTCCTTCTTCTCCCAGGAAGTCATCTTCTTTATAAGAACGCTACCCATTCTATTGCCACACTTCATCCAGATTCGCTCTCGATTCAAGGAACTGTACTAGACGGCTACTTCTGATGATGGATTCCTCCTGGACCAATCAATCCTCCTCCCTCAGCCTCGACCTCAGCGTCGGCCCTCTTCGGTCTCCCGACCATGCTCCGGTGAGTTCAAACTGATGCTATTGCCTTAGACCTCTTCGTGTCTTCGATGGATTAGGGGAACCTGTTGTTCATCAATCATGGCTTGTTCATATGCAGCCCGATCAAAGGAGTCCACCAAGAAAAGAAGAGGTTAATTCTCTGTAGCTATTTGATCGTTGCTGCAGTGTCTTGCTCTCCTAAAACGCAATCTCGCTTGCGGAACGCAGGTCGGAGTTATAGAGGCCAAGCTGAACCAGATAAGCAAGGAGAACAAGAGGCTCGCCGAGATGGTCAGCGACATGCACATGAACTACAGCGCTCTCCGCGGTCGATTGTTCGATCTCGCAAGCATCCCTCCCCAGGAAAAAGGGTCAGTCTCGCCGAAGAGGAAGAGGGTCGACGGAGTCAGCTGCAAGTACCAGATCAAGCATGGCGAAGACCCCATGCCCAAGACCTCCAAGATGTACGTCCGAATCGACCCGACCGATTCGAGTTTGGTGAGTTCGATCTTTGAGCAAAGAATGGCATATCATTTAGTCGACATCGGAAACGAAAGGAGAATTACGAGATGGGTGTTTTGGTGTTGTTAGGTGGTGAAGGATGGGTATCAATGGAGGAAATATGGTCAGAAGGTCACCAGAGACAACCCCTTCCCTCGAGCTTACTTCAGATGCTCCTTTGCTCCTTCCTGTCCCGTCAAGAAGAAGGTACCGATCGAGAGATCAAAACTCCTCACCATCAAATATACATCTGGTGATCATCATCATCATCGCTTTGACTCATTAGGTTCAAAAGAGCGCAGAAGATGGATCGCTCTTGCTGGCGACATACGAAGGCGAGCACAACCACGAGCGGCCTTCGCGGGATGATGTGTACGGTTTTTCGGATCACAGTGCAGCAGCAGTACTCCCGTGTCCATCGATCGTTGTAGAACACACCTCGCAACCTTACGATCTCGACGAGGTCGAAATGCCAACGCTGCAGAGACTGCTGGTGGAGCAGATGGCCTCGGCGTTGACCAAAGATCCAAGCTTCACTGCTGCGATCGCCACTGCGATATACGAGAGAATGCTTGGGTCTCCACCAGCTTATCACTGAGTACATACATTCTACGACTTGTGCTGTACAAAAGAAGAGAACTCAATCTCACCGACCAATGATTAGCTCTTCAATCCTGTCGCGCATGAGGCCAATCAATCAATCAAAAAGAGAAACAAATATGTAACGCTACATATCAGTATGTCGAATTTCCAATAGCACAGTGAAAAATCATGTCTGAGATAGGAGAAGGTTCATAGGAAATAATCAATGTTGTGCCGTGCTTATGTGAATGGAGTTGAGATACTTATAAAAGAAGAAATGAAAAAGATTTTTTTTTCGTGAAGATATGGTACTTCTTATTTATACACGGTAGGAGAAATGATTTTTCTTAACAAAGCAGCAAGATTTTCTCGTGCAGTTGGAAAAATCTTAGCTGCTATAATACCCCCGTAAGATGGTGCTCTTGTTAATGATGTCGATCTTGGATCGATGCGATGAAAATAGTTTACGGAAGAAAGGCTTCGTGAGTAAGTCTGCTAGTTGATCAACTGTATATACGTGAAAAACACATAGTTGATGTATGACAACTTGTTCTCACATGAAGTGAAGGTCGATAACAATATATTTTATGTGTGAGTGAAATACTATATTGACGCACAGATAAGTGACTCCGACATTATTATAATATATTGTAGGAGTAGAGGTGGAGTCGATGTCAAGTTCCTAAAGTAGATTCATGACCCAATTGAGTTTTGCAGTAGCGGTTGCAATGACATGGTATTCAACTTCAGTTGTAGATCGTTGTAGATCGTGCAACTATCTTTTGCTTCTTTGAACTCCAACTGATTGAATTAGCTCCAAGGAAGATAACATACCCTGACATTGAGGTTTTATTATCAAAGTTTTCTGTCCAATCAACATCAACAGATATGGAAATGAAGGGGGGAGTATTTGTGAAAAAAGACACCATGATTGAGGGTCTCGTTAAGATATCACAAAATTCGTTTAACTCCAGACCAATGCATAGTAGATAGCCGATGTATGAATTGTGATAATTTATTGACCGTAGATGAGATATCTGGGTGGGTGAGAGATAAGTATTGTAAGGAGCTAAGTACTTGGCGGTATTGAGTTGGGTCTGTAGTAGGACTTCCATCACATAGTTTGAGTGATTCACTAGTAGATAGAGTAGTTGTAATCGCTTTTGCATCTTGCACATTCGTCTTTGATAGTAGATCCTAAATATACTTTCTTTATGATAAGAAGAGTCCTAAAGATATATATGTTATTTCCACTCCTAGAAAGTAGCTCAAGGTTCCTAGATCTTTGAAGGAGAATCGATTTACCAAATGCTTAAGGAATACCTTGATCTCCATAAGATTATTGCCTATGACAATAATATCATCCACATGTACCAGAAGATATATTGTATTGCCACTTTGTTGACGGAGAAATAGCGAAGTATCAGACTTCGAGTTGATGAAGCCAATTGATGTCAAAAACGAGCCAAGTTCGGTGTACCGGGCTCTTAGAGCTTGACGAAGTCCATAAATAGCTTTTTGTAGTTTACAAATATGCCTTAGATACTAAGGGTGGATGAAGCTAAGAAATTACTACATGAAGACATCTTGAGGATCCATTGTAAAAAGACATTGTTAACGTCGAGTTATTATAAATATCAGCCTTTTGAAATGGTCAAACTTAGTATAAGTCGGATTATTGTGGATTTAACAACGGGATTAAATGTCTTTGTGAAGTCAATACCAAGACATTGATGAAACCCTTTGGCCACTAAACGTGCTTTATATCTAGCAACAGATCCATCTGGGTTCTGCTTAATTTGAAAGACCCACTTAAACCCGATGATATTTTGTGTGGGATGAAAGGGTACAAGGGTCCATGTAGAATTATGGAGGAGGACATCATATTCTTCACATATAGCTTTACATCAGTATGGAGATTTTTGAGCTTGAGTAATTGTGGTAGATTCATCGGTCTCTAACAAGGATTTCGTGATAGCATGTAGGTCAAGGACTTGACTATAGGGAAATCTAGGGGCGACATCACATGCACAGTGGAAGAACAAAAAATAAAAATCCTAAATTTCCCAAAAAAGTGTTCATCATTGTGCGAAGATTGGTGTGCAAAAGCCCATGAAACTTAAAACCATGCATGAGATAATTATGTTATCTAGGGAGATCGTATATCCCTAAATCCTTGTAGATCTATAGGAGATGATGAAGGAGGTCAAGCAGCTATAAGATCAACTGCCTCTTTCATATGGACAGGTATACAGCACACCAGTTTATCTACTTATCTCGATGTCCCTTTCAAGTAACATATAACCAGGATTATTTAGGGTCTATGTTTAAAGGTGAATCGATCTCATTATCGTGATCTCATCACGATCCGATTCCCATTACGCAAATCCATGTACATCACTATATATATATATATATATATATATATATATATATATATATATATATATA